ATGGCTCTCCCTGCAATTCGCCTGCCGCGTTCCCCGGCTGCAGCGCGGCGCCCGCGCTGGCCGTCGCTGGCTGCGCCCGTTCTCTCCGCGGGCCTCTCGGACATGCGCCCCGCCCGCCGCTGTCGCAGACTGCAGGACATCTGGAACTAGAGGGCCCAAAGAAGGCGGGGCGGAATGGGGGCGCATTTTCCTCCGCGGAGCCCCGCGCAAACTCTGAAACACGTTCCAAGGCAAAAGGCCACGGAGGAGATCCAAAGGGAGCGAGGACACACGCGAACGAGAGGGCCCACAAGGGCCTTGGGAGAACACCACTGCGCGCCCCTCCGGTCCGCCGCGAGCGGGCCCGACAGCGCGCGCCGCTGGCCATCGTCCAAACAGCGCGGCGCGTCTGAGAGAAGGGCAGACGGCGCTGCCCGGGCGCCGCGCGCGAGTTTGGCGTAGCCCGAGCAGCAGCGCGGGAACGCCGGGCCCGCCCGAGGGCGCAGGTTGGCGACCGCCTCCAAGGCGGGCTGGGCCTGGTCGGCGAGGCGCCCGGCGAAGGCCCGCTATATCCATTCGCCCCCAGAGGGGGCCCCGGGAGCTCGACGTCGCCACGGAGGACGACGCGGGCGGCCTCCGCTTCTGCGCCCACCCAGAGGGTCGCCACGAAAAGCTCCGCCAGGCACTCAGGTGCGCGCCCGCAGGGGACTAGAAGCTCACACTTGCCGAGGCGGAATTGGAGGTCGGGGCAGCGGCGCCGCAGCGTCGCCGGCGCGCGCGCCGGCGCCTGCTCCGAGCCCGCCAGGGAATCGTCGTCTAGGCAATAAGACGGCGCATAGGTCCAGGTCTGCAGCAATCGCGAGCTCCTCCAGCACGGGCGAGGGCGAAGGGCAGCGGACCCCACGAGACCCCTTGCTGCACGCCCGCCCGCGAAGACAAGACACGGCTGCCAAACCGCAGGTCGGGTGGCCCCGCGCGCGCCGCGCGGGCGGCGGGAGCGGGCGGCGCGCGGCGCAAAGCCCCGGCACAGCGAGTTGAACAAGTTAGCGGTATCAAATTTAGGCAGCACCTTGCCGTCCAAACCCCCTGGGAGGCTGCAGTCTGCAGCGGCCAGAACGCCTGGCGCGCGCGCCTGGCACGCCGCACCGAGCAACTCTGCGACCGTCGCCCGCGAGGCTGGGGCCAAAGCGTCAAGCAGGTGCTGCGCTCGGAGACCAAACGGGGACGGTGGCCGTCCCTTTCGGGAAAACCCGAATCGCCCGCAAGGTCGAATTCGGCGCGAGCTCGGGCGCGACCAAGAGATCGCCCATGCGGCCCAGCGAGAAGGCGGCCGCGCGGGGGCGCAGCTGCTCCAACGCGCGAAATGTTTCCCGCGAGGGCTGGGCGAGGCCCGCAGACGTCAGGGCGGATCAGCCCTTGCCCTAGAAGCCCTCCGCAGCGCAAGCGGCCGCCCGCGCAGCACGCTGCTCCGTCGTCGGCGCCTGCCGCCTGCGCCGCCGTCGCGCGTTCCGAGCGCACGCCTCCTGTCACAGCGTCAGGCGCTCCCCGGCGTCCCAGCGCGCCTGGCGGTCGAGAGCAAAAGCGGCCAGCGCGGCTGTCCTCTCGGCCGGCACGGGGTGGCACACAGAGCACGGCATATGCCGCCAGCTGGAGGTCCGCCTAGGCCGTGACCGAGTTTTGCGCTGCGGCGTTCGTGAGGCAGCGAACGAAAGCGCGAGACCAAGCCGCCCGGGCCCGTTTGGGCGCGTGCTTCAACGTGGCCACCTCCGCCTTATGGATGGCAGCCACAGCAGGGCGCGCCCCGACGCCGCGGGTTGCTTCAGGGGTTGCTTGAACCAGTTCTGGCGCTGCAGCTGGTCGGAGGGCGGCTCGGTCGGCAGGCTGGCAGAAAGGGTGCACGCCACGGCTGGCTCCCGCACACAAGCCACGCACTCGGCACTGGGAGCGGCGGCGCCGCCGCAGCCACTCCGAAGTTACCTCTCCAGCCAGTTGCCCTGCCAGGTGGGCGTCGAGATGCCGGCTGAGACTTTCGAAGCTGGCCCAACCAGGGGCAATTGCAGGGTCCGCGCAGGGGCATCCTGCGACTGGGCAATGCCAGCGAGCTGGAGGAGGATCAGCCGCAGCAGCAGCAGCAGCAGCAGGCGGAGCCTCGTCGAAGTTCAGCCTGCGCACCCTTTGCTCCGCACCCTCGACTCCGTCGTCCCCTTGGCGGCCTTGGCGGCGAGGAAGGGCTGAGTCCAGGCGTCTGGCATGCCGTCCGGGTGCGCCCGCTCGTGCGCCCAATGACAGCGACGACATTCCTCTCTCGCCACTGCGGCTGCGGTCGCTCCTGGGCCGCCTCTTCCCCGAGCGGAATGCCTGGCACGGGAGAGCCGTTCCCGGGGCACCCCAAAGTGGAGTCGAGATCCATTGCGCTCCACTTAGCGGCCAGCGTAGAGGGCGCCAGCGCGAAAGACACGGTCGCCGGAGGCACCGCACAACAGCGAGCAGCGATGCCGACAACAGCACCCGCCAGCACCGAGGCCATGAGGGAGCTGGCGAACAAGCGAACAAGGCGATCGTGAACCCGTACTCCTTGCAGGATTCCTGCCCGACATTGCCACGCCGAATGGCACGCCACCAATCACAGGTCCACACTGAAGGCGACTGACACGGGGAAGAACCGGAGGCAATACCCTGCGAGGTACAACATCATGAGAAGACCAAGGGGATGACTAGGCGACACGGGTTCAACTCCCTCGGATGCTTGCCCGCCGCCCATGTGACCCGAGGCGCCCCACGCCAAGAAGACTAAGTAGAGCATGAAACTTCGAAATGCGTCTGCTGGGACTGGCGCCAGGGGCAGCGCGAACGGCGTTCCCACCATTGGCCGAGATTTCCCCTCGCACTCAGACAGCAGAAGTAAAGCATACCGACTGCAACTCTGAACGGGTTGGCGCTGCCCTGCAGCCTTCTCCTCCTCGAACCTCCCCGCCAAAGCATGAAACCTCGAAGGCCGCAGCCGAGTGCGGCAGCGACGCATACGTAAAGAGGCAGGCGAGACGTGACATTACGCCGCAATCTACAAGAGACACACTAGCTGCCGTGGTGGCCCATGCCGGCTTCCCAGACGGGTGGAAGAACATTAGAGTGTGTCGAAATGGGAGCAGGAGACGGTTTGAGCGGGGGACGGCTTGAGCGTGACGCGGCGATATTTTCACAGCGGAGCTCCCCGAGAGCTCAGGACCCTGGTCCTGGGGGACCAGTTCTTCACGCCGAATTGTTTTGCTGACGGTTCTGGGGCCCAGTAAGGGCCCAGGAGGGCGACAGGGGCCAAAAGTCCTGCGGCGTGCCATTGCACGACGCGATAAGGTCAGCGCCCCCCCCCACCCCACGCGAGGCTCCAAGATCGGGGGCTTCTGGGGCAGTTCGGAGCCTCCGGCGGCACCCTCGCGGCCACGGCTGTTTCCCCGCCAGAATCCAAGCCAGCGCCCGTGGGCATGGCGCGTGGGCGCCAGATCCACGGAGCGGAAAAGTACCGCCAGAAACATGGGGCCAATGCCGCCTGAGTTGGCGACGGCGCGCGTCGAATTTTCATGGAAACGGAAACGGAACCCATCGCCCATCCACACGCCTCAATCCATGTTTGCGCTTCCCCCAGACACGTCGGCGGGTCGGCGGCGCGACCGCCGTCGCCGGCGTCGGCGTCGGAGGAAGGAGAGGTCTCTGCAGCGCGCCGTGCTGACGCGCTCGGCTTGGGGGGGGGGCCCAGGCTTTGGGGCTAGGGTGGCAGCGGCAGGCACCGAGGTCCACCGTGGTCAGTTTCTCGAGCTGCGTCCAGCCATGGTGACTTGGTCTCCCAGAGACGTCAAGAGAACCCTGGAAAGAAGACCCAGGCCCCCGACGCCGTGACGGTTCAGCAAAGAGAAAGGACCCCCGATGGTCTGGACCCCTCTCCCTGGACGGCCCCGGGCCTGGGGTGGGCCCTCCGGAAGCTGAAAACTAACAAGGAACCTTCCGCCGTGACTTCTTCGCGACGCGAAGGGTTCTGGCATTCGGGTCATCTACGGCGGCCGATTGAGACGATTCGGGCACCTCCAGAACGCTCTCGGCGACGCGCAGCTACTGGAAAGAATTCCGAGCCAAGAAGAAAACCTGCGAGAACCGGCGCTCCTCGTCGGCGCTTCCCGTCGGTACCGACGAGAAGGGCTCGAAACCCGACGCGAGGAAGTCTGGGGAAGACGTTATCGTCACTCCCCTCCGACGTCGCAATGTTTCGTGGCACGGGCCCGCGGGAATCTCGGGCCTGGTGGCACGGGCCCGCGGGAATCTCGGGCCTGTTTTTCATCCTGGGCCTGGTTTTCATCCTGGGCCTGTTTTCCATTCCAAAACCGACCGTCGTGATCGTTCTGTGTCGCCCGAATCCCCGGAGATCCGACGTCACGAAAAATGTGCAACATTCTCTAGCCAACTCGACCGGAGCCCTGGACCCAATCTCGCTGCGGCACTCTTCGAGCCAGACCGATCCGTGAGGGCCCTGGGTCCCGAAACGAAGCAAAATCGCGACGCCAGGATCTGAGGGTCGGGCCCCTCTTGGACGCCCCCCTCTTCGACGCCCCCCTCTGAGACGCGGAGTTATGAACCCCGCTTGGACGCCCCCCATCTTTGACGCCCCCGACAGTGCCTCGGCCTCCCGCTCACCCACGAGAGCAAGCCCCCCCCGTGAGGGGGAGAGGATGATGGGGAGGGAGAATGAGAGGGAGCGGGAGGAGAAGAGGAGGGGCTCCTCGGAGGCCCCAAAGCAGAACATACCAAGACACAGTACGCTAGCCCTGACGGCGTGCTGATGTGGCTGCGGCTGCCTCCTCGCGCTGCCCAATGCGAGCAGCCAGCGCCTCCATGCCGGGTGTGGGGATCGGGCGCACGCTGGGAGAACAGGAGGGGGGAGGAGGCGGAGGAGAGGGGAAAGGGTGGGATGCGGAAGGCTTGCGACGCCGGGATCTCGGGGCCCGGAGGGTCGTCGCCGCCGTCGGGCCGCGGGCTCCTGGGGACGTGCCTGGGCGGCTCGTGCGCTCCCACGTCCTCCTCGGCCGACTGCTCGGCGTCGTGCACCCGGCCTCCGGGTGGCCCGGCGGCGGCCCCCTGCCGCGCGCGGGGCGGCGCGCGCAGAGCGGGCCAGCGGCGACGACGCTCGTCGTCGTAGACGTTGACTTCGACGTCGATGCCATCGTCGTCGTCGTCGTCGCCGTCGTCCGCGTCGTCGTCGTCGTCGCCGCCGCCGTCGTCGTCGTCGTCACCATTGGGGCGACGATTTTCGTCGCCGTCATCATCGTTGTAGGGCTTCCCAAGATGGGACCGAAGCAGGCTGGATCGGGGGGCCGGCGCACCATCGCCGAAGCATCAGCGGTGCATCGGCGACGGAGAGATAGAGAGGAGCGGGCTTCAACAATCCTCCGACCCTACCGGCTCCAGCCCCAATTGGGAGGCCTCGAATCTTACACATTCTTACGCGTTCGGCCGTGAGCCCCTCGCTACCCATCGGCCTCCAGCGGCCTGTGGCAGAGACTGGAGACTCCGCCTGTCGTCCTGGGGGATAGCCCTGTGCGCAGCGGGGCGTTGTCGCTGGGGCACCAGTTGTAAAAATGGAAAACAAGTCCTGGCCAGCCCAATCAGTACCCTGTTGTCCCAGACAGCCGACGTCGTGATTTTGCCACAACGTGGCTCCACGGATGCCCGGACCCCTTCCTAGGACTGGCTTTTCATGCTGAGCCGTTCTCCGACAGTACCCGGGCTCAGTGAGGGCCCATGGGAAGGCGAAAACTTCCACCTTGTTTCCGCCACGAGGAGATGTCTGGGGTCGTGTCGTTGTCGGCCGTCCGCGTGAGAGGCACGCTGGCGGGGCACATGGTCGATCGCCTGGTCATGTAGTTTGGCCCCGGCTACGCCCAGATCCACGGGGAGGATACTGCGAGCCGTGGCCGAGAGGCCCTTTCTGCGCTGGATGACGACGGGCACGGCCGAGGTCACGACCACGGGAGCTCGGGTCAAGAGCACGGGGCCCTTCGCCGAGGGCCCAGTGCACCGTGGTTATGTCTTACCCCAAGACACAGGGCATTGCGATGCCGAGAGCCCCAGCACGGGAAATGAGAGTTCAGTGCCCCAACATATCCTCGACCTTCGTGCCAGCTGGGCCGACAAAGCTGGTTAGGAGAGGGAACGAGGGCAAAGCGATCGGCACACAGTGTCCACCTGGAGAAGACGGCCCAGAGGGGGAAGGGTGCGAAGTCTGCAAAGTGGTCTGCACACGAGGTGGCATCTCCACACGTTCTCCTGGACCCCCGACGTCGTTGCACGTTTCACTCACAGCGTGGACCCCCAGATCTCTCGACCCCTTCCCTAGGGCCAAGCTTGCCATCCCGAAGCGTTTTTTGATTCGACAGTCCCAGGGGCCCGGCAAGCAAGGGCCCTGAGCCCAGATCGGAACGGCCAGCAACAAAGCCTTACGTCATGGTGTTCTCTCACGACGCGAAGACGTCTTCTGGGACCTCGGCCCACCCTCTGGTTCCGAGGACCAGGGGGACCGCAGAGGCTTTCCGATGCCTCAAACGTGCCAAGAGCGTGCAAAAGCCTCGATCCCCCGAGGTCGTAGTCGTGGTCGTCGCGCCATCTCCCACTGAGATCCGACGTCAAGAACAGAATACAACATCGTCTGCGGCATCCTTCGAGCCCGATCGGGCCCTGGAGCCCGAAACCCGGCAAAATCGCCCAGTGCAAAAAAATGCGACGCCAGGGTCTCAAGGTTCGCCTTCGCCGTCGTTGTCGCGCCCGACGGGCGCGCACGGGCTGGGCGGGGGCGCGCCCGGGGCTCGTAGTGCAGGGAGCCGCCCGTGGGGTCCGCGCACGGGAGCCGGCGGGGCGGGTGCACCAGCTGAGAGGCCTGGGCTCCATAGGCGGTACGGTAGGTTGGGGGGCAACTACTGGGAGGTCTCCGTAAGACGAGTCAGGTAAAGAACAGAAAAACATGCATGTCAGCGCTTGGCTCCCAAAGGGTTGCTTGAGTGCCACCAGAACCGCTGGAGCACTGCATTAGCTGTGGAACTGAAGCCTCAGCGTCACAAGGAATCGGGTCAGTACTCGGGCGTCCTGGTCATCACCTGGAAGGATTCGGCCGACCCGAACGCTGACCACACCCTATTTAGATCCCGAATACGGGCAATTAAGCACGATCAGACGGCCACTAAAACAGCTCAGCTGAAATGACGCCCAAGATGATCCTGCATAAGCCCGAATAAATGGTTTTAAGACGATATTGAGCGGAATGTTGCAGGTTCAGGCATGCTTTCGACCACAGACATCTCAGCGCCGATTCTGAGATAAACCTGATGCTGAGGTAAACCTCGAAGGATTTCCATGAAGGACCTGGGGTGGAGGACGGAAGATCAAGGTTCGAAGATCGAGGTATTCGGGCTTGTCCCAGACCGTCCTGCGGTGTTCCGTCCTCGCTCTGAATCCGCAGCGCCCCACCCCACTTTCCCGCCCGCTTCTCCCTCCTTTCTGTGCCTCGTTCGCATCGCGCCGCCCCAGATTTGCCCAGTCCCGCCTGTTTCATCCAGGTCCTTCTTCTCCCATCCTTGTTCTCCCATCTTTCTTTGCCCACCCCGCTTGCCAACTTGCTTCCCATCCTTCTTCTCACCTGAACGACGCAAAGAAACGGGTCATACGCGAGAAGACATAGCGACCTTACGCCGCGGCTTATGCGGGCCGCCAGCCTGGCACATCGCGTGAAGAAGATGGTGCTTGATTACGCGCGACCTGACGTGGAGCCCCATACGCGTGAATGTCCGCGCAGTCGACCCCGTTGTCTTCCTTCGCTCATCTGCCGCACGGTACTCACAACTGCTTCCGACTGGGCCCTTCGCCTCGAAAGCTGTCTTTCCCAACCATCCTGTGGTGTTGGGTCCTCGTTTTGAACTGACAGTCCCCGCGTCCCTCTTCGTCTCCTCCTCCTCCGCCTCCTCCTGCGCCTCCTCCTCCTTCTCCTCCTCCGTCCTCCCCCTCCTTCTCCTCCTCCGTCATTCCCGTCCGTGCTTCTGCCCCGCCATCGCCATCGCCATCGCCATCATCATCATCATCATCATCATCATCATCATCATCATCATCATCATCAGCATCATCGCCATCAGTATCATCATCATCAGCATCATCATCAGCATCATCATCATCATCATCATCATCATCATTATTATCATCATCACCATCATCATCATCAGCAGCAGCATCAACCTCATCATCATCGTCATCATCATCGACATCACCACCATCATCAGCATGATAATGTTCACCAGCATCATCTTCATAATCATCATCATAATCGTCAGCATGCTCATCGTCATCACCATCAGCATCATCAGCATAATCATCAGTATCATCTTCATCATGTCCACAAGCATCATCACCATCATCATAATCAGCATCAGCATCGTCATCATCAGCAGCATCATCATCATACTCATCATCATAATCATCATCAGCATCACCATCAGCATCATCATCATTGTCATCATCACCATCATCAGCGTCATCATCATCAGCATCAGCATCAGCATCATCAACATCATCAGCATCATCAGCATCAACATCAGCATCGTCATCGGCATCGTTATCGTCATCATCAGCAGCACCGTCATCATGATCACAACCAGAATCAGCATCCCCATCATCATCACCAGCGATAACATCATCAGCAGCAGCATCAGTGTCAGCATGAGCAGGAGCATCGTAGTCATCATCACCACCAGCAGCATCAGCAGCACCATCCTCATGGAATCATCATCAGCGACACCATCGAACTTAGCATCACCGTCATCAGCAGCATAATCATCTGCATCATCATCCTAATCAATATCATCATCATCATCATCAGCATCAGCATCATCAACATCATCAGCATCATCATCAGCATCGGTATCATCATCACCATCAGCATCATCACCATCATCATCGTGGTCGCCAGCATTATCAGCAGCAGCAGCATCGTAATCAGCATCGCCATCATCATCACCATCAACACCATCGCCATCAACGACATCATCAGCATCATCAGCAGCATCAGCATCAGCATCATCTTCATCATCACCATCATCATTATCGTCATCGCCAGCATCATCAGCAGCATCATCATAATCGGCTTCCTCATCACCATCGGCACCATCGTCATCATCGCCATCATCATCATCAATTGCATCAGCATCATCATCATCACCATCAGCATCATCACCCGCATCATCATCATCAGCATCATCATCACCATCATCATCATCATCACCATCATCATCAGCATCGTCGTCATCATCATCGTCATCAGCATCAGCAGCATCATCTTCATGAGCATCATAATCTTCCTTCTCTGCCCCCTCCTACCCCTCCTCCTCCTCCTCCTCCTCCTCCGCATCCTCCTCATCATCATCATGATCAGCATCTGCCTGATCATCATGATCAGCATGATCATCATCATCATCATCAGCATCATCATCATCGCCACCATCGTCATCATCATCATCATCATCAGCATCACCATCATCACCATCATCGTCATCAGCAGCATCATCATCAGCAGCAGCATCAGCATCATCACCTTCATCATCATCATCATCATCATCATCATCATCATCATCATCAGCATCGTCATCGTCAGCATTATCATCAGCAGCATGACAAGTATAATATTCTTCATCATAACCTCCAGCACCATCATCATCATCATGTTCAGCATCATCATCATCAGCAGCATTATCATTATCATCAGCTGCATCTTCATCACCATCAGCATCAGCATTATCACCACCATCATTAGCATCATCATCATAAACATCATCTGCATCGTCATCACCATCTGCATCAGCATCATCATCAGAAACATCAGCAGCATCATCAGCAGCATCAGCATCACGCGCCTCACATACGCACCCTTCACACGCTTCGTGGCCCCGCAGGGAACTCCACCGAAGGCTCCAGCGGCAGGGTCCGCAGTACGCACTCGCACGCGATGCAGCACACTCCTCACACGTTTCGTGGCCCCACAGGGAGCTCCAAAGAAGTCCCCAGCGGCAGGGTCCGCACGGCGTACCCGCATCAGATTCGGTTCACCCCTCACACGTTTCATGGTCCCATGGGGGGCTCCACCGAAGGCCCCAGCAGTAGGGTCTGCTTGGCGTACCCGCATCCGATTCGGCAAACCCCTCGCGCGCTTCGTGGCCCCACCGGGAGCTCCACCGAAGGCCCCAGCGGCAGGGTCCGCATGGCGCACCCGCACCCCACTCGGCACACCCCCACACGCCTCGTGGCCCAACAAAGGGGCTCCGCCCGAGGCCCAAGCGGCAGGGTCCGCATGGCGTACCCACGACCGATTCAGCGCAACCCTCACACGCTTCGTGGCCCCACCGGGAGCTCCACCGAGGGCCCCAGCAGCAAGGTCCGCATGGCGTGCCCACACCCGATTCAACACATCCCTCACACGTTTCGTGGCTCCGACGGGGGCTCCAACGAACGCCCTAACGGCAGGGTCCGCATGGCGCACCCGCACCCCGCTCGGCACAACCCATCGCACGCCTCGTGGCCCCGAAAGTAGCTGCACCGAGGGGCCCCAGCGGCAGGGTCCGCTTGGCGCACCCGCACCCGATTCGGCATACCCCTCACACGTTTCGTGGCCCCAATGGGGGGGCTCTACCAAAGGTTCCAGCGGCAGGGCCCGCATGGCGCACCTGCGCCCGACTCGGCACACCTTTCACATGCTTCGTAGCGCTATATTAACTGCACAGACGGCGCCAGCGGCAGGGTCTGCATGGCGCAACCGCACCCGACTCGGCAAGCCCCTCACACGTATCGTGGTTCCGACGGGAGCTCCACCGAAGGCCCCCAAGTGTCAGGGTCCGCATGGCGCACCCGCATCCGATTCGGACACCCCTCACACACTTCGTGGCCCTTTAATTAGGAACCCCACCGAAGGTCCCAGCGGCACGTGCCATGGCCCCAAACAAGCACGTTCGTTGATTCGGGCCGGCCACGTGCGTGACCGGAAGGGGGGGGGCTACGCCGCTTCAGTCACGCCTCGGCGGGGGTGCGCAGGAAGACTTCCAGGCTGACACACTTGGACCCCGCCAGTAGCCCTACGAACGTGACGATCGGCTCTGCGACTGCGCCTTCACGTCGGACGCAGCGGGAGGCCGAAGAGGCCTCTATGGCGACCCCGGCTACGTCCAATGGGCACTCCATGACCTCCGCGAAGACCCGCAGGGAGATTGAGGGAGACCTTCTCGCACGCCTTGGCGATGCCGAGCAGGGCGCTGGCCGAGCTGAAACCGCTCCCCCCAGGCCTCGTCGTCCAGCAGCACGCGCAAGACCGCATGTTCGCTGCTCCTCGCTGGTGCTTCCCAGTCGTAGCTCCCGCACTTCTTGGCCCCCCAGCGCTCCATGCGGGCGGCTCGACCGCCCTCCCAGACTCGCGATAGCGTGCGGAGCAGGCAAGTCGGTCTGCCGCCACCATCGAGCTTGCCCACAATGAAGATGACCATGTGGTGGATATCGTCTGGCCACGAGCGCAAGTTCTCGCGCCGCGCCAGGACGACGCCGAGGAAGTCCAAGAGGTTGTCGCCCAGCCAGCTCCAGTGGCGAGGGTGCCAGCCTATGAGTCCAGCTCGCTCTCGATAGGCCTTGCAGACTTCACGCGAGCGGTCGGTCTCGAACCGCCCGAAGCTCCATCATGGCGCCGACCAGAGCTTGCTGCGCGGGCCCTGCCCCGCCTGCCATTCGCCAGCCAATTCGGCCGCCTCCTGCCCCACCGCGCGCTGAAGGCAGGCGGCCAGGGGCCGCTTGCTGACCGAGCCCCGCGGCGGGCCCCAGGCGGCCCTCCACGCACAGACCTTGCGCAGGAGGCCTGCTGAGCCCGAGTACTTCTCCACCAGCTTGAGCTTGAACCTGCGGCCCCGCTCGACCATGAGGGCCTGCCCCCACTCGTCTGCGCGGGCGCCGGCCGCGCCTCTGACGGCGCCCAATGCCCTGACGGTGCCGATCGTGAGCGGCGCCTCCAGCAGCCGCATCAGAAGGCTCTTGAGCAGGTGGCCGTGCGGCCCACGCGGGCCCAGCACCGCGCCGAGCTCTGGAACTTGACTACGGACGCCTGTAACTGGCGCCTGCGCAACACGGCCCTTCGGACCTCGCCGCCGCGCGTGCTCTCCTCACCGCTCACGCTCGCCAAGTTGCCGATCGCAAGCACAGCGTTGCCAATCCTGCCCGCAGCATCGCCCTCGCTAACCTTGCCGCCGTTCATCCCCTCGTCGGTCTCGCGCCCCCTGCGGCCAGTCAGCGCCTGCTGGCTGCCGACCTCGAGCATCGTGCTGCCGTTGATGTTCACCATGCCGCGGTTCTCGCTCGCCACGTCGTTCGACCCCAAATGTGTCGGCCTCGCTGACCATGCCGCTGTTCGCGCGCACCGCGTTCCCGATCTCGCTCGCCATGTGGTCGATCACGCTTAGCGCGTCGTCTTTCTCGCTCTCCCGGTGACCGTTCAGCCCCTGATCGCTGCCGACCTGGCCAATCCTGCTGTCGTCGGCGCTCGCCACGTCGTGGTTCTCACTGACCATGCAGCCGTTCAACCCCTGCTGGTGTCGGCCCCGCTGACCTGCACCTGCTGGTTGCCGACCACGCTCGCCCTGTTGTCGCTGGCGCTCACCGCGTCGTGGCTCTCGATCACAACGCGGCCGCTCAACGCCTGCTGGCTGTCGGCCTCGCTCGCGATGCTGTCGCCCTCGTGCGCCTTGTTCCCGCTATCGCTCGACGCGCGGCCGACGGCGCTCACCGCGTCGTCGGCCTCGCCCCCCCTGCGGCCGTTCGTTGCGCGCCAGTTTCCGACCTCGCTCTCCATAACTCGCCGCGCCGTGGCTCTCGCGCACCACGTTCCCGCGATCGATGACCACGTTGCCGACGCTCTCCCGCTGGCCGTCGACCCCGATCTCCGCGCGGTCGCCCTCGCCCGCCGCGCTGCCGCCGGCGCCCCCCCCCCCTGTTCGCGCGCAGCATGTTGCCGCCCTCGCACGGGGCGCCGACCGGGCCGAGACCCTGATCCTCGAGCACTCGGCATGCGGAACGCCGAGCCAGGCGACCTCCGCCGCTAGCCACCTCCAGGCCCAAGCTGGCCACCGACTGGCGACCGCGCCCAGGCACTTGGGCAGCAGCTCCTTGTCGATGGGCTTGGGCGCCGCCCCGCGCCCATTGCACTTGGCGGCCTGCTCGCCCGTTAGCCTGCAGATGGTCCGCAGCCGGGGGCCCGCGAGGTCGCAGGAGAGGCGCCGCGCCTCGCTGGGACTCTGGATCGCGGGGGCGCCCTCGAGTGCCTCGACGGCAGGGCGCGACGGCGCCTCGTGCTCCTCCCTGGCACCTGGCCGCTGCATGGGCCACTGCCAAGGCTCGCCGATCACTTTCGCCGCGAAGGCCTCCCACGGGGCCGTCGATCGCACCGCGCGCGGTCGGCGCGGACGGATGGGCAGCTCCTCGCGCGCGTCCGCGCCCACGGGGGCCTGGCCAAGCCACTCGCCCATGCAGAAAGTAGTCGGTGATGCGGCGTTCGCCCGCGCCCCTGCACGCGCCCGCGCTGCGCGCGGCGGCTTCGACGCAGCCGCGCACATCCCTGGGCCGAGGGCCGCGTGCACTCCAGGCCCCGCGGCTCGTCGTTCCAATCGCCGCCCGCGAGCCTGGGGGGGCGCAACCTCGCGATCCAGTTCGCGAGCGCGTCGCGGACGGACGCTCGGGGGGCGCTCGAACCCTCGGCCCGCGACCAAGTGCGCGCTGGAGGTCGCGAGCTGGCCGGGCCCTGGGGTCGCGACCAGCGCCATCGCCTAGCGCCCCATCACTGCCCTGCAGGCCGATGCCCCACCTGGACACCCCCAGTGCCAATGCCGCTGGGAGACAAGATGGCAGCGCGAAGGAGACGCCAGCGCGGCGCCCACCCGCGCCTGGCGCTGGCTCTGCGGGCGCGACCAGCACGCGCCAGCACTGGGCCGCCACGCCCATCGCGCTCTCGCGCAACAGCTGCCCGACCTTGCCGCGCACCTGGCCTAGCACGATGGGGAGCTGGCCTACTGCGATCGCCGCCGCCCCCGGGCCCGCCGGGAAGTCCACGCAGCGCCTCCGCGACAGGCCGCCGTTGATCAGGAAGGCCCGCGGCATCTTCTGGCCGCGCCGGCGCCTGCCGCGCCCTCGCCGCGGCGCCGCCTTCCCGCGAAAGGCCGCGCAGGGCGCTGCCCGCTCGGCCGTCGGGGGCGCCCTCGCGCCGACGGCGCATCCACGCGCGCTGGGACTCGAGCGTCTCCCTGCGCCTGAGCCGCTCGGTCTCTTCCACGGCGGGGTCGCCGGCCCACGCGTCGAACTCGTCGCCGCCATCCATCGGGTCGCCGCCGTCGCTGGCGCGAACAGCATCGCCTGCAGCAGGCGCCGCGGGCGCCCCGCTGCCCGCCTCGGCGTCAGGCGCGGCCTGCGGGGCACGCTGGCGCTGCTGCTGTCGGACCCTGTCCTGCAAGGTGGCAGCGTCGCTCTTGCTGCGCCACGTGTCGACCTGGCCCTGGGCGCCCTCGAGTAGGGCGGGGAGGCCGCCCGGGAAAGACGCGAGGTCCCCGCGCACTTGTGGGCCGAAGCGCGGGGCCCTGGGCGCGCCGCCCCCCCCACCTTCCTCTTGCGCCGCCTTGGCCAGCTTGGCCCGCGCGTCCTGCAAGTGCAGCTGCTGCGCCCGGTCGAACTCCGAAGGCTCCTTCTTCCTGGCGATCTTCCGATGGCACCTCTCCTGCAGCTACGCGAGCTGCCCCTCGCGCTGCGGGATCGCGGTGTCGACGCAGTGGGAGATGCACTTGGAGACCTGGCGGAGCTTGTCATCGAGCTGGTGGAGAGGGATTCCCATTGGCTTGGCTGCCCGCTTTGCTGCAAGGTGCTGCCCCCGCCTGGCTCAAGTGTCTTCCAACGCACGGCTGAGAGCCTCGTCAGCCCCGTACTTGAGCATGCCCCCCACGCCGTGGATATTGGCGACGAGGGCGGCGAGTGCGCGTGCGTGTGCGTGCGTGCGCGTGCGCGTGAAAGCGCCTGTGCGTGCGTGTGCGCGTGTGCGAGCATGTGCGCGCGTATGCGTGGGTGTGCGTGTGTGCGTGTGCGTGTGTGCGTGTGCATGTATGTGTGTGCGTGCGCGTGTATGTGTGAGAATGTGTGTGTGTGTGTTTGTTGTGTGTGTTGTGTGTGCCTGTGTGTTTGTGCGCGTGTGCGTGCGTGTGCGGGTGCGGGTGCGTGCGTGCGTGTGCGCGTGTGCGCGTGTGCGTGTTTGCGCGTGTGCGCGCGTGTGCGTGTGCGTGCGTGTGCGTGTGTGCGTGTGCGTGTGCGTGTGCGTGTGTGCGTGTGTGCGTGTGTGCGTGTGTGCGTGTGTGCGTGTATGCATGTATGCGTGTATGCGTGTATGCGTGTATGCGTGTATGCGCGTATGCGTGTATGCATGTATGCGTGTGGCTGTGCGTGTGCGTGTGTCTGTGCGTGTGCGTGTGCGTGTGCGTGTGTGTGTGTGTGTGTTTGTGCGTGTGCGTGTGTGCGTGTGCGTGCGCGTGCGCGTGCGCGGGTGCGGGTGCAGGTGCGTGTGCGTGTGCGCATGTGCGTGTGTGCGTGTGCGTGTGTGCGTGCGTGTGTGCGTGTTTGGGTGTGCGTGTTTGCGTGCGTGCGTGTGTGTGTGTGTGCGTGTGTGCGTGTGCGAGTGTACGTGTGGTTGTGTGCGCTTATGTGCGTGCGGATGTGTGTAAGCGTGTGCGTGTGTGCGTGTGTGCGTGTGTGCGCATATGCGCGTGTGCGTTTGTGCGTGTGTGTGTGCGTGTGTGCGTATGCGTGTGTGCGTGTGTGCGTGTGCGTGTGTGTGCGTGTGTTCGTGTGCGTGTGTGCGTGCGTGTGCGTATGCGTGTACGTGTGCGTGTTTGCGTGTGCGTGTGCGTGTGCGCGTGCGCGTGTGCATGCGCGTGTGCGTGTGCGGGTGCAGGTGCGTGAGCATGAGCGTGAGCGTGTGTGTGCGTGCGTGTGCATGTGCGTGAGCGTGAGCGTGTGCGTGTGCACGTGCGTGTGCGTGTGCGTGAACGTTTGTGTGTGCGTGTGCGTGTGGGTGTGGGTGTGGGTGTGTGCGTGTGCGTGTCTGTGTCTGGGTGGGTACCCGAGAAAACACTGGTCCTGGCTCGTCATGGGCCCCTGGCGACCAGCTTTCCCCCCTTGATCTCAGTGACATGCAGGATCAGACAGCATCCGATCCGAAAATCGGATCGGATCAGAATGTGCGTCGGATCGGACTGCATCGGCGCGGAGCCGAAATCGGACTGGATCGGCTGCGCCACGATGCACAACAGCGCAATGCAACCATCGGGTCACATTCGATCATCGGAATATCAGAATCACATTGGATCGAGCCAGTCGGAGCCAACATCGAACCAAATCGATGGAATCGAACTGGACCCTGATATGCCGTGGCCATGTCAAATGGACCGCTCGATTAAACTCCATCGTGCCGCTGACGCAACAAAACATGAGCCAAGGGCCCGAAACGGACCCCCGGAGAACGAGAATGACGGAAACAAAACAACACAAAACAAAACAACACAAAAACGAAACAAGCAACTTCCGCCGAGACCTCAGATCGCACCGCCGCGCGCCCCGCTCCTGCCCAGTACCCTGAGCGCACGTAGGGCACCGCCTGGGTAATACAACGCCTCGATCCTCCCCCCTCCCCAGACCTCCGACGTTGTATTTTTTCGCAGCGTGGACCCACTGAGGTCGTGACCTTTTCCCTGGGGCTGGCTATTCATCCCTGCGACTGACTTTCCCCAGGGCCAGCTTTGGTCACCGGGACCGGCGAGGGCACCCCCAAAGGTCGAAAACGCGCAAAAACTTACCGCCGTCAGTTTTCCGCAACGAGAATGGAAGGTGTAGTCGATTGAGTCTCTCCCCTCTCCCTCCTTCCCTCCCCTTCTTTGGACGCACGATGCCGAACAGCGAATGTTGGCCAACTTCGTGTGTAAAATTGACAGCGCCCGCGGCGACACCGACAGCGAGCCCTGTTCTGTCCAGAATGGGCAATGACTGCGGTCGGTCTTCGTCCCCATCCTTTCCGTACCCATTTCGATCGCACCGATCCAACCCCTTCCCACGCCCCCCGCGCGTCCCCTCTTTCGCCCTTGCGCCCGCGTCCTCGTCTTGGTTCATGGGCTGTGCCGCATAGCGCGCATTGGCTAGCATCGACTATCTAAGGCGCCAATAACGCTACGGAGTTCTGGGAGTCGCTTCATGGAACAGCCTGGAAAAGTCCCTTCCCTTCCCTCGCGCGCCCCGCTTGCGCCTTTCCGCCCCCAGGCGGAACTGCCCTGGCAAAGAGCCGCGTCGATCCACCCCTCCTCCCTCCCCCCGTCCTCGTGCTGCTTACTCGGGCTGCGCCGCGTAGCGCCGGAGTAAAGACAGTGACAATATGAAGCGCCACTGAGCTCTCATGGAGTCCTGAAGCCACTCCACGGAATAGTCTGAAACCCATACATCCGACGTCGTGTTCTATTACAACTTGGCCCACCTGAGGTCTGGACCACTTCTCCTGAACCAGCTCCTCATCCTGAGTCTTTTCGTGACGGTCCCAGGGCCCAGTGAAGGCACCCCAAAGGCAGAAAAGTAGTCAAAACCTTCCGTCGTGATCGTCCCCCAACGAGAGGGAGGTCTCAGGGATACTCCCTTCCCTCGCGCGCCCCGCTTTTGCACTTGCGCCCCCAGGGCGCACGTAGCGCACCGCCAGGGCGAACAGCTGCCTCTCGGAGGGGCTATCCAGCACGGGCCCCGCCTCCCAGGGGCGGGGTCGGCGGGGCGATCGACCACGGATCGCTCGATCGATCGACCGTCGTTCGTCGTCGTCGCCGTCGTCCTCGTCCATTGGTCACCCGACGCCGCCGTCATCGTCATCGTCGCCGCTGTCGTTCGTCGCCCTTCGCCGCCGCCGCCGCCGTCATCGTCGTAGTCGTCGTTCGTCGTCGCTGTTTCGTCGTCCTTCGCCGACGTCGCCATCGTTGCTGTTCATCGCCGTTCGTCGCCACCGTCGTCGTCGTCGATGTCGCTCGTCGCCATCGCCGTGGCCGTCTTCGATGGCCGTCGTCCTCCTGACCGTGTATTGTCGATAGCCGTCGCCGCCGTCGACGATTGTCGTTTGCCGTCGCACGTCGTCATCGTTTTCGTTCGTTGTCGTTCCTCGCAGTTGCCGCCGTCCTCGTCGCCGTCATGGTCATAAACGCGGTCGAGGCCGCTGCCGTCGAAGGCAAAAAACGACGACGACAACAACGACGACAACGACAACGAGGGTGAACGCAGAGGAAATCATCAGAAGAAAACGAAAGAGGACCGGGGACGGAATAGGTAGGTAGGTAGGATCAGTCAGCATCGAACCAGAAACTCGGATAGAGCCGGAACGTGCGCTGAATCGGGTTGCACTGGCACGGAGTCGAAACCGAATGGGACTGACCGCGCCAGGATGCACAGCTGCGCCCTGCAAGCATCGGGCCGCATCGGACCGCTGGAAAACCGGAATCGACTGGTCCTGGGCCCACCGAAATCGATACCGGAGAGGATCCATCGGATCGAGGTGGACTCTGGCAGGCCGCCCCCCTGGCCCTGCCCACTCCTGCGCGTAGACGAAGGGAGGCTGGCCAGCAAGGGGGGGGGGCGGATCTTTGCCGAAGAGGGCAGCGACGACGACGGCGGTGACGGGAGCGACGACAACGGCAGCGGCGACGGTGACAACGGCGGCCACGACGACGACGACGACGACGACGACGACGACGACGACGACGACGACGACGACGACGACGACGACCGCGCGACGAAATCCGTTCAACAAAATGTGCCACCAGACGCCTCCTGGAGTCCATCCTGGGTAGCCCTTCATCCCCGCCCGTTTCTCCGCGGCACTGGGCCCGAAGCGGGCCCCACGAGGACGAAAAAAACGCTGAGCGGCCTCCACGAACGAGCACCACTCCGAACGCGCCGAGCGGGGAGCAAGAAAGGGCAAGGGCGAGGACCTCGACGAACACGCAGGCGAACCACCGAAGACGAGGCCAAAAATACGCATTGTCCTGAGTAGATACGGAAGGAGACAACCTGGCATACATATGACCGTTTGGAGGTAAGCGCGGATTTCTTGGGACAGCGCTGGACGCCCCTCCGTGGTGCGCAAACCGCGCAAGGAGCGGCGCCAGAGGTGCCGCAAGGGGTGCCCATTGCCGACCCAAAAACTCAGTGCGGACCTCCGAACATATAAACAGCGCGACTGGAAAATAACATGACCTTTGGACGCCCAGAATTGAAGCCAAACCTGGCTGCCATGGCTCATGATTCAGGGCCAGGATGGGCAAAAAGAGGCGGGGGCGCAAGGGGGAACTAATGGAAAACAGGCTTCATTGTCCAAATGCGGTTTGACCGTGCGCATGGTCCCGCTGTCTTTGTTGTAGTTTGTTTGCAAAGGTGGTTTGCCGAGTAGGCAGACCAGTGCAGAAGGCCCCCAGGTGCCAGAACGCTGAGCCCACAACTCAAGCCCAGGGCCCCATCCCACATGGCACGAGGGCACCCAACATACACACCTTACGAAAGGGGCCTCGAACAGTAATCTCACTCTGCGCCCCAGCTTCCATGCCTCAGCAACAGGCCTAACCCTGCGCGCTGTGACTCTCATTCGAGCGTGAATATGCTGAGACACGCTGCCCGACGAAAGCTGGCGACGGCGGCAGTTATGAGCAAACGTAAACGCGTCAAGCACGGAAACAGTTAAACGCAGCACCGTACGAGGCAGTTCTGTTGTCGGGAGCAATGAGACAAGCCAAGGAGGATATTCAGAGAAGGGGGGCATCAGTTCTCCGAGCCAATGTTCACATATGCAGTAGGATCGCGAGCACCGTGAATAGTGGACAATGTCGTATAAGTCAGTGAGGGCAGGGACAAGCGCACCAGCACGGCAACCGAATAGACAATCGTGAGATTGGGAGCGAAATCTGGCAGACGCGCTCAAACCTCCGGTGAGTACTCGCAAGAAAGCGAAGCCAAGATAAGGCCAATATTTACGAAACACCAGCTTGACAGCTTTGAAACCTTCACCGCGGCATCATCAGGAACCTCGCCCATCCACATCCCCATCCGAAGCATCGGGTCGATCGTGGCATCGCGAGAGAACTCAGGCGAGGCAGCAAGAGCACGGCCCACAGCGGCCTGGAAGAGCTTCTCCTCTTCAGGGATGCCCTTGGGAGACGCAACCTGAACTCCTCGAAGACTGCGGTACGTGGCCAGAAGAGCGGGAGCGACGCTCACCCTGGCCCAACCTGACATCGCACGGACAATACAGGCGCCATCACTCGCAAACAGCTTATCCAAATCCTCCAGGATCTCCAGAAACTCACGACACTTCGAAACCAATCTGAACTCGGTAGCCCGAGACACCACATCAAGGTTCTTGCATTGACCAGAGAAGCCCATGGAGGTGAGGTTCGTCAACGTCTCATAGTTGAAACTGGAACGGTGACCAACGACTGAAAGCTGGGGCTCGTTCTCACATGCCGCGGTCACAAATCGCGAGATAAGAGCGGATTACATAACAAAGGATCAGATGCTTAGACAGAGCGTGTGGAACGCGATGCTATTCTTCGCAAAGGTGAGCCCAGTCTGACGCACCTCTCTCGCTCTCGGAGCAAACTTCGCCACTGGCTTCGCCCGGGGGCATTCGCGAGCAGAGTGGCCAATCAACAGGCCAATGTACTTGCACGAGAGAACCACCTGGACCTGGATATGTTCAGGGCTGCGCACAACAACGCACTGCCGCGGGCGAATTTGAAACGCGGCAGAGTGAACTAACATCAGGCGCTCGTGCTTATTCAGAGCAAGGCCAACCGCGGCCTCAAGAGACTGAATCACTTGAAACAGACGGGCGAGGCGGCGAGGTGCATAGCCGCGCCACGTATTCCATACAGACAAACAGACAGTCATCAACACATTCCCGCTTGAGGCGAAAGCATTCCAAGCAGTTCTTACTGATGTGCACCTGGAGCGGAGCCGCCCCCAGGCAGGAAAGCACCGTGGAGGCAGGGCCCCCTTGACGCACGCCTTCGGCAATCTCAATCGTAGCATAGACCTTTCCCATAATAGAAATCAGCGCAGAATTGTCAAACTGAAACATGCGGCGCAACTGCGCTGTGAACCTCGGGACCCCCATCGCTTCTGAGACCGCCAGGAACCAATCAATCGAGATCGAGGGGAAAGCGGCAGAGTGGTCCGTCAGGACAAGCGAGCTCTTCCCATTCTCGAGCACGCGCTCAGAAAGCGCCCAGGACTCAGCGCGCACAACGCGCGCAGCCATGCTGCGACCAGAAACGCGAGCCTGCGAGCGGGAGACCACCAGCTGGGCGGCCTCGCACAGCGGGCGACGCATGCATGAGCTCAGCAGCTTAGCACCAGCGTTCGCCATGGAACGCGGACGTGCGCGTTCAGGAGTTCTGTAGACATGGGCCCCGGCACCAGCCTTAGGACCCCCCTTCGGTGAGAAACCGCGAAGACCTCCGACATATCCTGGAGAGGCGATTCCTATTGACCAGACACCAGATCCCGATCACAATCAAATAGGACCCGCGGGGCATCTCCAAGGCGCCAACTGTAGCGAGGTACCCCATCAGGCCCAGGCGCGCTATGCTCACGAGTCTTGCCAGCGTCCCCGAAGAACGTCGCATGGTCCACTTCCCAAGACACATTCGCCCCCAATGGCACCTGCCGGTTAAAAGACAGGAGCTCGGGCCACATGGCGCGGCCCTCTTGCGCCTCGCCAAAAAACCTCGCCCCAGCGGGGCCCCAGAGCCTCAGAGGAGGCCTCGGGCGCGGAGTAGGGCGCGCAATTTTCGCCCACCACTCCTTGGGGCCGCGTGCGACGACGGAACTGCCGTCAAAAACTTCGACGGCAAGCGATGCGTTTCTCTTCCTTCTGCCTCTGGAAATCGCCGGGAGGGAAATTCTCAAGTTTCAAAGTCTCAGCATCAAGGACCTTCATACACAGCTTGCAAATGTGCTGGCAGAGGGGAAACATATCAGCACAGTCAAGAGTAGTGACATCAATAAATTCTGAAAGTTCGCGGCAAACAACACGGGCATCATCAATCACATTGACGCTCTGCAACCGCAGGCTACGAAGCGCGGCCATAGACCAATCATAATGATGCCACCCCTCATATGTACTAGCCACTCGAAGCTTAATGCGTCGACGGGCGCGCGCAGCCGCAGAGCGCGCGCAAGCGTTGGCTCGTGCCAGTCGTGCGTCGCTCTCGCTGGCAGCGGGCGGCGCAAGTAGGAACCTGTCCAGCTCGTCAGCAGACTCTGGAGACTTGGCCAACCACAGCAGAATATCCTTGCTCTCGGACTGGTCAGGGGCGCGCGTACATCGAGATACACGACGCGACGGGGGCGCGGTCAGACAGCATATCGATCTTTAGACGGGCGATTGTTGATGTGGAGATCGTCGCATCCGCAAGGGCGGCGCTGGGCAGCGAGCAGTAAATGCGACCCAGCCGCGCCGCGTGCTTAATCACGTTATCTACAACGGCCCTACGCGTGTCCATATCTTGGTGGAACTCGATCAGATCAGGCAGGACGTCGTGGGACACCTGGGTACGCCTGCGACCCCCTTGACCCCGGAGCCCGCCGCGCGCTCTTTGACGCCCCTCACCCTCCATGATAAAATGCCAGCCCAAAAAAAAATCATAACATGCTCAGCGGACATCGGAACCTCCCAGCGCATCGCGCGAACCACAGATCGGCATGTGT